ATTTAAATGGTGTGATTTATATGTAGTACCAGTAAATTTTCTGTAGAATCCATTGATGAGAAAACTAGGATAAAAGATTTGGGATCAGCAAAAGAAATAGTGATGTTTCTCTGTATCTACAAAAGTAAGAGTGAAGGGAGGCAAACCAAGAAACAGACTCTGAACTACAGAGAACAAACTGATGATTACTAGAGGGGATTGGGGTAGGGGGTAGGGGAAATAGGTGATGGGGATGAAGATGTGCACTTGTGATGAGCACCAGGTGTTGTATGGAAGTGTTGAATCACTATATTATACACCTGAAACTAAAAATGCACTGTGTGTTAACTAACTTGAATTTAAATAAAAACTTTTATAAAGGGTAAGAAGAAAAACACTTAAAAAATTTAAAAGTTTTAAATGTTTTACAAAGGACATTCTAGCATCAGTCTCCTTGTTTGGAATCCAAATTTGTTTCTGATCTCAAGGAAAACTACTTAACCTTTCTGAGGCTCATTTTTCTCATCTGTTAATTGGGTATTTAAAAAAGAAACAACTTACAGGACAATGTGGAGACTATTTGGAGAAGAAAATATATGGAAAGTTCTTCCTACGGGGACTGTGAACTAGTATCATTATTTTGTCAGCCTGCAGGGAAATAATGATTATTTTAAAAGTATAAATGTGCTCCATAAGTTACATTGAACTTTTGAGTACCCAGAACTACATACTGGTCTTTAATACTTCTGAATTCTTTTCAGTAACATATACCAAAAATGAAAATAACGTTCATTTGATAATGAGATAAACTTATAGCTTTGAATATTTATTATAATGATATCTTCAGCTTTTTTATCTAAAATGTGAGATTGTTATACTGAATGAACCCAAATGCCATCAAATATTTTTGTATAATTTGTGTGTGTGTATGAGAATGAATGTATATGTGTGTGTGTGTTTGTATATATGATATATATATATATACCATCCTTATTGTACTTTCTTTTATTTCCAGGCTTGTTAGAATTGTATGTTAATAGGAAATAAATGAAACTTATAAGAAACCCTTTTAAAAAGCTCTAGCCCTTTATGTGTCTTTTTTTCTCTTTAGTTGATGTTAACAGCCATTTAAAACCATTTGCTAAATATATTAATTCTTTAAGAGTAGAAAGACAGCCTAATTCAGTCATTCCTTTTTTCATTTATTACCTGAACTATTTCAATAAGAGAAATGTTACTTCATTAACTATTTTTTATTCATAAGTAGTTTATATAGAACAAGCAAAATGTTTTGTTTTCAGATTATTTACCAGTTTTTAAAATAATGCTTTCCTAGTATTCTGCAAAAGTTATCAGTAGGTATATTTTATCATTATGAATCATTATGAATGCATTAACCTTGTGTATATGATCAGATTATCCATTTTTTGGCCAGTGGAAGCCTATGAAAGTTGGTTCCCAAGTCTTTTTAACATGATCCTAGTAGACATTGGTATGTAATTTTATAAAAAATAAATGGAACTTGAATCTGATCAAGCTACTAAATCTACCAATTTAAAGAAAATAAAGGAATGGGAGAGCATGTTCAATGATATCTCAATTAGAAAAACCTAGAATGTGGGACGAAATAACCTATTTTTTTTTTAGTAAATTTGTTTTCAAGTAGTGAAAAAGAAATATATTAAAATATATTAAATATATATAATATATTAAAATATATTAAAACAACAATGAGATACCGTTACACACCTCTTGGAATGCCTTTAAAACCTGGACAATACCAAATCCTGCTGAGGATGTGAAGCAACTGGAAAACCATATTCTGCTAATGCCATTTTGGAATACAGTTGGACAGTTTCTCAAAAACAGGCATTCTTGGGACTCCTGGGTAGCTCACGTCATGATCACAAGTCCTGGGATGGAGTCCCACATCAGGCTTCTTGCTCAGTAGGGAGCCTGCTTCTCCCTCTGCCTGCCACTCTCCCTGCTTGTTGTGCACACTCTCTCTCTCTCTGACCAATACATAAAATCTTAAAAAAAAAAAAAAATAAGTACTCTCCCTATAACCCAGGAATCCCTATTTACCATGGAGAAGTAAAAGCATAGGGTCATATAAAAATCTATACATGAAAGTTTATACTGGCTTTATTTATAACAAATGCATTATGCTACGTGAAAGAACCAGGCTCAAAAAGGCTTCATGCTATATGATTTCATTGATTTGACGTTTTGGGAAAGGCAAAAATCATAGGGACAAAAATTAGATTAGTGGTGCCAGTGGCTGAGCTGTGGAAGGGATTCAGCAAAAAGGATCACAGGGGAAATTTGGGGAGCGATGGAAATATTCCATAGCTTGATTGTAGCAGTGGTTACATGGATGTGGGGGTTTGTCACAATTTATAGAAATGTACATTTAAAGAGGGTGATTTTTTTATTGTAAGTAAATCATAACCTCAGTAAATCTAACTTAAAAGTTAATGGAGGAAATTAGATCAAAAAAACAAAGAACAGTGTCAACTCACTGCAATGAATAGCACTTATCTGGAACTTGATTTTTCTGTTCAAGTTAAGTTGAGACAATAGGGATATTTGATGACATTAAGGAATTACTACTTACAGTAATAAATTAAGATATTGTTGCTATATTAAAAGGATTCTTTATCATAGAAATATACACTGAAATTTTTATGGATGATTATTACTGGAATTTGCTTCAAAGAAATTCTGCAGTGGGAGAGAGTAGGTAAAGATATATAGATGAAGTAAGATTGACTATAAGTTGGTAATTATTGAATCTGGGTGATGAGTACATGAGGGTTCATTTTACTGTTTTCTGTATATTCTAAAATATGTTTGAGAATTTTCCACAATAAAATTTAAAGAATTACAGCTCAGTTTTACAAATGTATATTTAGTAAACTGATTTTAACAGTACTGAAAGAATATTCTACAATGAGTAGAGTTCATCTCAGAAACTGACATATGGTTTCGTACTTAAAAATTAATAAAACATAGTGATTCAAATAAGAAAAACCACAGAATCCTTACAATAGACACCAAATAGCCTACTATCAGTGGAACTTTTTAAAACTACAAATAGAAAACCCCACTTTCTTGACTATGTGAAGATCTAAAACTCATGATGAAATACCAAAGCATTGTTTCTCAGAGTATGATCCATGGTCTACTGGCATCTAGGGGACTTGGAGGTAGTAGTTAAAAATAAAGATCTGAATCATGGGCCCTACACATTTAACTCCTGGAAACACCACAAAAATCCTTCCCTTTTGATACCTATCTTTCCAACCTCATATCAATCCTGCTAGTTCCCCAAATAATCCCCACTCCTAGTTCTGACTCCAGCAACTGAAAACTGATTTAGTTGTAGCTCAGTTACTTTATTCTAAAAGTAAACCATTTGTTTCTTATCACATCTAATTGAAAGTCCCTTTGTCCTAGGTCAGCTCAAATTGCATCTCCTTTGTGAAATTCTCCCAGACCTCCGTACTAGCCCTGATGTAACTTAATCGCTAGGCTATTATATAATCTTCCATTTTAAAATTTAACAGAATATGTTCTAATCATTTGTTTTTATGTCTGCCTTTTGATCAGATTATGAGTAAGTTTTGGTCAGGAAAAAAGATGCATGGTTTTTATTTTTGCTTTTGCCTTAGCTGTCAGTATACCCACACGTACAATAATAATGTAATCTATGCTTTAAAGATAGTAGATTTATTAAAAATGAGTTGTTTTCATACTGTGCAAATCATATATAAGGACATTTAGTAACATAAAAAGGAGCTACAGAAGCTTGCTTTAACAGTTTTTCCTTCTTGGGCGCCTGGGTGGCTCAGTTGGTTGAGCGACTGCCTTTGGCTCAGGTCATGATCCTGGGGTCCTGGGATCGAGTCCCACATCGGGCTCCCGGCTCGGCAGGAGGCCTGCTTCTCCCTCTCCCACCCCCCCTGCTTGTGTTCCTGCTCTCGCTGTCTCAGTCTGTCAAATAAATAAATAAAATCTTTAAAAACAAACCCCCCCCCCCAAAAAACAGTTTTTCCTTCTTTGTTGTGGTATAGAAAGACTATATATGAAAATGGTGGGGAAAGCAAAGGTGATTATTTCATTGTTGGTCCCCAAACTGACCCCCTATTCATGCAGGACAAGAGAGACTGCAGAAAGAGGCAGACCACTCCAGATTGGTAGGTGGGAGGGCTAATAAGCAAGGAAACTTGTCTTGGACAGCTGCAAGATTCCATATCCACCCACCAGAATCTTAAAGTTTGCATAGAAGCCTTAACTGGGTTCAGTCATGTATACTATCGAGGTGGTCTCAACAACATGTTACTCTCTCAAGGCTCTGTCCTTGGAACAGCTCCCACTACCGAAACAGTAGGCAGAGCTTACATTTTGAGGATGGGGGAGGGGAGTGAGGAGTCTCCCGTTGCCTGGGTCCAGCTCAAGGGTCAACTGGCAGTCACATCATCTTGATTACCTCCATCAACATTTATCAGTTTTAAAAGCCAGCTATTAAAAATGACTGTTGGGGTCCCTGGGTGGCTCAGTCGTTAAGTGTCTGCCTTCGGCTCAGGTCGTGATCCCAGGGTCCTGGGATCGGCCCCACGTTGGGCTCCCTGCTCCGCGGGAAGCCTGCTTCTCCCTCTCCCACTCCCCCTGCTTGTGTTCCCTCTCTCGCTGTGTCTCTATCAAATAAATAAATAAAATTAAAAAAAAAATTCTAAAAATGACTATTAATTCTGTTGCTCACTTATCTATTTTATTTAGCATTGTTAAACACAAATTACATATTTTGAAAATAAGTTATAACTACCTCATGTATTTTATCATTACTTAGTATTATTATGTTAGTATTTAGTATACACAGTTAATTTTAAAGTAAGTAATGCTGCATATTAAAACTAATGCAATGAATAATAGTAAAAGTAGTTGACATTAATGATTTAAATAATGTTTTTGCTTCAATTGAAAAATTCATGTAAGTTTTTTTTTTTTTTTAATTCCAGTTGTGTTGCTTGATACAACAGCTGTACTAGGAGAGCTAGGATGGAAAACATATCCATTAAATGGGGTAAGTTTAATTATGTTTTTAAAATTTTCATCCTTGCTAGGTTTTTAGGGTCTTACAATAATTAAAAGAACAGTGGATTTGGGCTCTAAGTAGTATTAATTTTAGCATATAACTAAAATCCCAGAGAAAAGATTAAAATACAATTAGAACTTGTAACCAATGAGAATGTTGTATAAAAATCCTTGCTTTCTTTTAAATTAGTCTGTCTTTAATATAGTGTTTATATATAGTAACATTAGACTGTCTCCTATATAAATGTTTTCTCATAAAAAAAAATTATGTGTATAAGTTCAAGACAGTTTTTTGTATATAGGTTTATTAAATTTGGTAACCTCAGTGAGTATTTGTCCATAAACTTTAGATTATCGTAAGTGGATTTTACAGATATTAACAATTTGTTTTTTATTAGAAAATATCTGTACTACAGTATGTGTTTTTTGAACTTGACAAAAAGAAATATTATGATTAGGTTTTTGTTAGCTGAGAGTTCTTGCTTTTGAAAGTCGTGTAATTTAAGGCTGTGTAATTTACAAACTACAATTTTTCAAGTACTGGTATCATTTTAGCTGTGGTTATAATTGCTTTTTAATATGGTTTAATGTATTTTGCATCATTTTGACATTGCAATGTATTTCTCTTCTTTTTTTTAATTTTAAGTTAAAATGAAAGGGTGGTTTGTGAAGCTTTTTATTTAGATTTTGTCTAATTAAGCAAAATTTTCAGTAATGGAGGTACTCAGCTGTTATTCAAATCTACTTGGGTTAGCTTTTCTTCCTTTTTTTAGAAATTTTATTTTTCTCATTCATCAGATTCTAAGTTGATATTTTTACATTGCTTTTTCCATTACATCTGCAAATTTAAATCTAACAGAAGTTGACTGAAAAATGTTTTATTTTTTAGAATCATTCAAATATTGTTTGAATTTGACCTTTTATAGCAACAGTTACTCATTTAACATGTGTGTTTTCAACTATAAATTTCTATGAAAAGTTAAATCTTCCTTTTTTCAACAGGCTATTTTTTCTTTAGATTTGTTTGTTTTATAGACTGATTTTATTTTTTTCTGAAATTTTCATTTTATTCTCATAAAGTTCTCATCAAACCATTTCTGAAAATCTTTGAAACTATCTTTATATATTCATCTTATTTTCATTAAACATCAATATTTATTGACTGTATTAAGCATGTCAAATTTATTACAGTTACTTTCAAGAACGAATGCAACATTTTTTTTTAAATTTTCTTCCAAGATATATACGTTTCCTTTCTCGGTATACAAAGTAATTTATAAGAACTTATAAAGTTTATAAGCGCTACTTTTCCATTGTTTAAAAAAAAATGACCAAAAATATGAGTGATTATATTATCACTGGCTTCATGTAGTCATAGCCAAAGAATCGTGTGAGGAACAGAAGGAGTTACATCCCTGCTCCAGTGTTGTATTTGTCTTGACCAGGCTGCATTTCAAAGCAGACTGGTGAGGAGGAGACACAGGGACTTACAGAGTTACAAATATATTTACTGCTATTGTTCTCTTACTGATCTTGTCATAGGTGTTGTGAAAGGGAGATTTTTTTTTTCCCCTACTATTTCTGGTTTATTACTTAGAGAAGGGGCGGAATTGTTTGAAAAGTAACGCTTGCCCCAAAGTTTTCTATTTGCAGACTCTGCGCTAAAAATTTTATCTTATTTTCACAATAGCTTGATGAGGTATATCTTAGTTCTGTTTCCCAGTTAGAGAAACTTCACCTTAAAGAGAGTAAGGAACACAAAATACCAAGAAGTTATAGGTTAAGTAGTGAGTGATGGGATTTAATTCGAACTTAGTTATTTCTGATTAAAGCCTGCGTCTTAATCATGGCACTTTTAACAGAGAGGAGCATTGGAAACTTCATGAAAGGCCAATTATTTATGTTGATATTTGCATAATTGATTCAGATTTCTTTTCTCCCTTTGATAAACATAGTACTTGACTGAGATGAACATTTTGGACACCAGCCACGGATTTACAGGAGGAAAGGTGAAAGAAGAAAGGAGAATACAGGAGAAAATAAGTAGGGTAGATTAAGGTGAAAAAGGAAGAGATGGTTAATACTTATCACGCATTTACCATATGCGAGGCTTTGTTAAAAGCAGTTTACTCACATGAGTCCTAGAAATCAAGAATAATTTTACCCCATTGAAAGATATGGAAATCAAGACTCAGGTACATTAAATAACCTTTACAAGGTCACAGAGCTAGGAATTAGTGCAGCAAAAATTCTAAGCCAAGTAGATACTTATCTTTAACACACATGTGTGCTTTTTATTTCCTGTAAGATTCTACCATATAAATGTAAAGACCAGTGACCAATATGTATAAACTACAGAGGGAAAAATCACACAGGGATTCAGACATTAAGACATAAATTGAACACTTAGTTACCTTGGAATGTCACTGTTGGAATGAGCTATATTACTTTTAGATTATCCCTCAAAAAATAGTGCATACATAGCATGTGAAAGCAATAGGAATACTTGAAAATGAGAACATACGGACATAGTTTATTTTTTTATTATTGTTTTTATTCTTATGTTCATAGTTTATAATAGATATAGATGAAGCTACATGAATTAGGTGAAACAAAGGTGAATCCAGGGAAACAGTAAAATGGATATATGATTTATGTAGGTTTTAAAGAAAACATATAGCTTCAATTTCTTTTAGTGAAGTGGGTATATTACTGATGAGAATAAAGTTTACTTAAAGCTCTTTATAGGTTAAAGCAAGTAAGGAAATAATCTTCAAAGTTGAAGAACTTTGAAAAAGGCTCTAAAAATGTTGAGAATTGGGCGCCTGGGTGGCTTAATCTGCCTGTGGCTCGGGTCATGATCCCGGGGTCCTGGGATCGAGTCCCACGTTGGGTTCCTGGCTTGGCAGAAAGCCTGCTTCTCCCTCTCCGCTTGCTTGTGTTCCTGCTCTTGCTATCGCTCTGTCAAATAAATAAATAAAATCTTTTAAAAAAATGAAAAATAAAAACGATGAGAATGAAAATCATCTAGACATCAGTATTAGTTAAATAATTTAAAATCTATAGAAACTGTTAATCAGTTTTAAAAGGATATTTATTGAGCACTTTCAAATCTTATAGGAACTCTGAGAATCATTATTCCCAATTTACAAGTGATGAAGCAGAGATTCAGAGTGTTTAAGTAAAACAGCCAAGTTTATATAGCTACTAAATGAAAAAATTGAGGGTTAAACTTGCTTCCACCTGTTTCTGAGAAATGCTGCAATATTCACAAATTCCTTCACATATGTAAAAATAAGGCAAGGCTAACACTGTTTTGGTTTCTTCCACTTAAGCCTTATGCTTTAGAAGGTTTTCTGTTAGAAAAAACTGGGTGTTGCTGATCACTAATATCTCAGAAATTATTCAATACTTAATGTATGTAATATTCCTAGTAACCAAGTAAAATGGAATTTTCATGTCTTTATATTAGATCTGTACATAAACATTTATAATCCAATAAATAGCAGTATTTGGATACCTTAGAAATATTTTTTGGGAGGTGCCTGAGTGGTGTATTCAGTTAAGTGTCCAACTCTTGGTTTCGACTCAGGTCATGATCTCAGGGTTGTGAGATAGAGTCCTGCATTGGGCTCCACACTCAGCAGAGAGTCTGCTTAAGACTCTTTGTCCCCTCTCCCTCTGCCCCCCTGCCCTGTTCTTTCTCTCTCTCTCTCTCTCAAATAAATCTTTTTAAAAAAGAATTTTTTGTTTCAGTTTATAACATTTAAACTACCATTTATATCTGTATATTAAAATTGTAATTTTATCTATTTGAAACTGTATGACTTTTTTCAGGTTGTCAGGTTTATTGAGGCATGCTAATATGAATGGCCATTTTGACTAAAGTTGACTTTTTTTCAGAGACACTATTTCAGTTGGTTTTACAAATATGCCATGGGTAAAAAAGACAACTAGATGATAAATTTGGCAACTTTATGAAATCAAGTAATTGGTATTTCTCTGAATGAAGTATTTCCTAGGAATAATTTTTCAATTGATAAAATTTTTTTCTATAAAGACTTGAACTAAGAGACATCTTTGAAATTATATACTATATAAAATGTGATTTAATGACTTTAGAGATTTTTAATTTTTTTTTTACTTAAAATAGCCATCCCACCAGTAGTATCATGCTACTAAATGGAGTAGACATTTACAATGTCTGTGAATAAAACCCATTACTGATAATTTGAGTAGGAGGTATGCACCTCTGGTTAGAGAATGTGGAACATAGATGAGTGAGTAGTTTTGAACAAATGACTTCTTAGGCTTGCAAAAATGAAAAAAAAATATATATGTGTGTATTTACTGAAATGCTTGCTTGTCAACTCATTTGCACCAACATTTAAAATATGTGATGTCCACAATTCAGTTTAACAAACTTCCATTTTATGCTCTTTGTGCCAAGTACCTTGTTAGAGTACTTATATAGCTCCAGAAGCCTCATAGTATAGAGATCATTCTGCATAATCATAAGGTCAGAGAATGTCTTCAGGCAGGTTTGCATAATGGCTTGTGAAAGAATAATGAAGGGAGGGATTAATTCTGATCAGGGAATATTGGTAGTAGGATGTGACATCAGTTCTTTCTGATAAACTGTGAAGGAATCCCATATGAGCTGGACAAGAGGGTGGAGAGCATCTGCTAGGCAAAGAGAATAACTTGAGAAAAGGCAGAGCATTCTTAAATGTGCGCATTAAGTTTTGGGAATGTTGAAAATAATTTGTGTGGTTGGAGTGAAGGGTTTTGTGGGAAATAAGACAGTGATTGTAGGCTAACCATATTGTGGAAGACTTAGAATTTCAGTGTCTTAATTGACTTAGTGTATAGCTCAATCCTGTAAATAGAAGTAAAAGTAAAAACTTCCTGAATTCAGTTATACAAACAAACAAAAAGTATTAAAGCTTTCTTTTGTTTTATAGATAATAATGTAGACCCATGGAAATG